TTTTACAGCAGTTTTCATTCTTTACTCCATTATTTTATTTTTTGATAGATTTTATATTTTCATACGTTCTCATTTTATTACAAAACTTTTAAATATACTTAAACAATGGTATTATTGTTTATTGTTCTCACAGAAACAAATTATATTTAAATTGAGAGAGATAGTATTTGAAGAAATTCGACTGAAATATCAGCGATATTAAGGAGAATTAACATTAACTGTCAATACACCTTTACTCTTCTTGTTTTATTTTATTATCTTACTGGTTTTTTTAACATCTCTTGGGTTTCTATTCTTACAATTATTAATGCCAAAAAAACTATTTTATCTACAAGAATATTTCAGTTAATTTTCGATAAATTTAGAGTGCACATTTCTTATAGAAAAAAATTGTCGAATAAAAAAGTTAAAAAAATAGAAAAAAAACGAAAATCTTTTCAATATTAAGGAAAATTATATAATAATATCAAGATTTTTTCTAAATAAATAAAATCATGAGATTAAATATAAAATTAACTTAGAAATAATAATTAATTTTGTTTAGCAAATTTCTTTATTCTTTTTTTTTCTTCATATCTTTAATTACATTTTTTCTCCGAGTTCGTAGTGAAAATTCTACGGATTATCTTGCATATACAAACGACATATTATTCTGGTTACAGAGACTAACTAAATCTGGAATGACAATCATTGCTAATCCTCTTTAACGAATAATTTTTAAGGATTTATTAATCCGAAAGATATAAAAAAATAATAAGCAACATAGTATGTATTGCTTTATTAACTGTCTCATTATACATATATATTTTATTGTGTGCATATGTGAAGAAAGAAAATTTATTGAAATTATAATTCTATCATGAATTTTTTAGATATATTATAGAAAATAAATATTATTATTGATAAAACGAGATAGATTGCCAAGCAAAATTAAAAGAATTAATTACATTTTTATTTTCTCGCTCTTTGATATTTGCAATAATGTGAATTTATTTTATTCTTCTACATTATATACATTAAAAAAACATAGAAATTATTTAAAAAATAGCATAAAAAACAGCTATAATTTTTTGTGATATTATACATGTTATATATATTTTATAAATTTCATATATTATTAATATATTATCCTAATAAAAAACATAAGAAAAAAAGATTTAAAATGGGATATAAAGGTTTAAAAATAATTGCAAGATAGCTTGTATTTAGATGAGAATGCGATAACTTTAATATTTTTAAAAGCAGAGCAATGAGAATGAAAGAGAAAAGGAAAGACTATTGAGAAGAAAAGAGGAATACAGTGGACAACTCTTTAATGACCCCTCGAGGTTATTTCAATAGAATACGACTCTGTCTACCGTTGCATCATCGCTATATACCGGGTGTACCGTTAACAATAAAAAAGTTTCTTCATATAAATTTATATATAATTTTCCCTTAGCGAAGATATGGTGAGAAATTACACTTTTATTAAATTCTTGTAATTATTTTTATAATTTTTGTTTTATAAAACATACACACATTTATCATTTTCTTATATTTTCATGTGTGTGTATATTATAATATAAAATAATATAAAATTATATTATTTATATTATATACAATTGTTGTATATTTATGTAATTTATGTAATTATAAAAGAATTATAATTTTTTCTTACTGTTATCTTTATTTTAAGTAAAAACGATAATCAGATAGACGCAGGAAATTCTAATTAATCCTAATAAGCTCACATATTGTCGGTAATATTTGGCGAGATTAGATAATTGACGAAGGAATTCAGCAATATACGTTACGTGATATGCTTTTCTTTCATTATTTTTTAAAAAAACGTATAAATATCGATTACCAAATGAATTGTTAATGATAAATATGTAAGTAGTAAAATATACATATATGTTATGTTGCAAAAATCATCAAAAATCTCAAAGATTTTTACGCAAAAAGCAAAATGCGAAATCTGTATGCGGCGTGCATGTATGTGTATTGAAAATCTTTTTGTGTATGTTTAATTTCTAAATAACCATATATCCCTAACAGCACACATGTCCGAAAGATATCCAAAGGATATCCATAGGATATCCATAGGAGATTGGGATATTCTATGGATGTCCTTTGGACATCTTTTGGACATGTGTGCTGTTAGGGATATAATGCATTTTTTTATTGTATATTTATATTTTTTTATATTTAACTAATTAATTAAATTTATTAATTATTATTTAATTTTTTCTGTTTTATCATTCTGTTTTAATATTATATTTTATTTTTCATATACAATTATGTGTTTTACTTGCAGAAGGTGTTGAAGGACGATCCTTGAAGCTTTAATAGGAATGGGAAGATTAAGTTCTGTCCTGTTCCTAAGTACTAGTGCCGCAGGAGTGATTAGACGTGGGCAAGACATTACCATATCTCCTGCTGCTCAAGTGCTTATCAACAGGTCGGGACACGTGTCAACTTTTGTTTAGAAATGAAGGGAAGAATTTCAACGTTTCTTGTTTTGTTTGATCTTTTATATCGAAAATATTATGAAGCATATTTTAAGTAACAATATATTTCGCCTAACATAATATTCCTTTGTAATATGATATAATAATAAAATTATTATTATACAATATAACAACTATATTATTATATTATATAACAACAATAACGATAATACTATGATTACTACATATGCGAACACTTATGCTTATACGTATATATATATAAACAAATAGAAAGTGTATAATATACACACACACACATGATTTTCATATTATATAACATAAAATATTAAATAAACACTTTTTTATATAATTAATGTTTATGTATAATATATATTAATATGTATAATAATATTGAATAAATTATTTTTTAAACATGAAAAATACCAATTATTTCGTGTATATTTATATTGTACAATGTACTTTTATATCTTAATATATTGTACAAAAATATATCTTAATATATTGTACAAAAATATATTATACTACAGTAGAATATTTTAAATATAGAATATATTGAAAAACTGAACTACCTCCTAGAAAGAATAGTCTTCGTTCAATTTTTTTCTCTTATGATCGTTTCAATGTAATTTAAACTGAATCGCGAATTAACTTGTAGATAACAACATTAAAAATTTAGATAATTTTTAAACGATACAATTATGATATATATTACAATAGAAATATTTAATTTTAATGTTCAAATTCATAATGTTTAAATTCATTCAGCAAATTAATCGACGATTAAATTGAAACCACGTTAGATAGAAATGCATTAATCGTTAATTAACTTACAGAGCGAAAAATATACATATATGGTAGAATTTAAAAATTTATATTATAAATAAATAAATATAAATATATATATATATATATATATACACATACACACACGCATATATATTATATAATTAAATTATTAGAAATATTTATGTTGCAATGTAAGTTTATCAACAATTATATTAATCAAAGTTAGAATTCTATATTAAGATATATATATATATATATATATATATATATATATATATATATATACATACATTTAGTCACCCGTATAGATAAAAAATAGCCTATTGTTTATATTGTGTTTTTTAAAGTCCAGATTACACTATGGCTGTGTTCCAAAATTCACTGTCAACACTAAAAATCTATAGTGTGAGTAACGTAAACTATAGATTTTCAGTACTGACAGTGAATATTAGAACGCAGCCCTGTAGTGTAATACGAGTTTAAAATGTGTCTCGTCTACAATGGAATGCAAGTCGTAAGCAAATTGGCCAATCACAATCTATTATCATCAGAATACTCAACTATGGTTGGTCAATTTGCCTACGACTTACGACTTACGACTCATTGTAGAACGGGCCTTAAGGTCATTCTACAATGGTCATAGCATAAGATTTTAAGGCCGCACACACTTGCATAAGCGGATAACCATAAGAAAATTGATTGGTTCATTTTCTTATGCATATACTTGGGGACCAATCAATTTCCTTATGTTTATGGTTATGCGCTTATGCAAAAGTGCTGCGGCCTTAAGACTCAAGAAATTGACCAATCACAGTCAAGTATTAAGAGAATACTCGACTGTGATTGGTCAATTTTTTAAGTCTTACGCCTTATGCTACGACCATTGTAGAATGACCTTAAGGGCCTATCCAGACAAACTTGCATAGGTGCATATGCATAACATAAGACCATATGGACCAATGAGCATCGAGCATTAAATCACTATATTGACTTACATAACATAATATTCGAAGCTCATTGGTCCATATGGTCTTATGTATGCATATGCACCTATGTAAAGGCCGCAACACACACTTTTGCATAAGCGCATAACCAGAAGCATAAGGAAATTGATTGGTCCCCAAGTATATGCATAAGAAAATGAACCAATCAATTTTTTTATGCTTATGGTTATGCGCTTATGCAAAAGTGTGTGCTGCGGCCTTAAGTTTGTCTGGATAGGCCCTAAAGAGTTGCAAATCGCAAATCATAAGCAATTAAAAAATAATCAACTATGATTGGTCAATTTGCCTACGACTGACGACTTACGACTCATTGTAGAACGGGTAAGGCACTAAATATATGAGTATTCTATACTCCGCCATTTTTAATCCATCCCCCCACCAATTCATAATCTCACTAACCTATCTACTATAATCTCAGCTTAGCGACGAGGCGAGTGACACGAGAAACAAGGAGGGGGAATGGATTAAAAATGGCGGAGTATAGAATACCTGTATATTTAGTGCTCTAGAACGGGCCTAACGCGTTGCCGCGTCCAGTGTTCCGATTAGGGATTCCGTGCGCGCGCATATGCGGTTCTGCGCATGCGCGACTTTTGAAACTATATTGTACTTTCACGGTCGCGCAAGTGCAGAGCCACACATGCGCGCGCACAGAATCCCTAATCGGAACACTGGCCGCGTCCTGTGTGCAGTCACCCCTAGAACATAGGAAATATTATTGCAACGTGTGGTAAACCTGCCCACCCATGTCCGTTCTCCGTGAACATAGTGCGTCAGTCGCGTTTCGGTGCACTCTTCCGTTCGCGCAGAGATCTTGCTGCGTATCTCTACCTGTATGCGTGCGTGCGTGTGTGTGTGTGTGTGTGACATTTTTTTCCACAGATCATTCGCACTAGCTGCAACATGTTTACCTGGCTGTATCGCCGCCACCACAATTATCATCAGCCTACCATAATACCCAGGTCGCCTTATCAGCGGCATTAATTCTCAGGTACGTGGACTATGCTCTCGGCGCAGAGTACCGCGACACCCTGCCAAGGGCAGGCAGCGGCGCGCCCTGACGAATCTGTTTATGTAGTAATGGCGAACATTCTCTCCTCCTCATCGCCGACACCGTCGTCGCGACGCCAATTTCTTCCTTGCTCTTGTATTCTTTTCTTTTCCCGAAGATCACAAAATTCTGTCGGGTGAGAAAAAAAAATTATTTCGATATTTCAAATTTTATCCCTATATATCCCTATCTCCCTCAAATTAGATACATAATTATCAAAAAATTATATTTTTAATTTTTTATATTTACTAAGAGAAAAATTTTCATTTTTGTTGATAACGTCTTTGTCTAGAAGCTTATTAATATTTTAATTAAAGTATTTTTGTAATAGTTATATAGTCTTGAGAGAAGGAGAACATTTTGTAATTGAATCATTTATTTCATTGAAAATTAATATTCTAATTTATATACAAATTGAAGTTTTATTTTTTGAATTTTTTCAGAACTTTTGCATAGTTAGAAATAGAATTTTTATATAATGTGATATAATAAATTATATATAAAACATTATATGAAATTTTTTTATATATTTCAGATTAGCATAAATTAAAGCAAGTAGAGATAGAGATAGTAAGAAAGGAGAGAGAGAGAGAAAAAGTAGTGCCATGGATGATGAAGTGCGTCTTGATGGTGAGGAAGAAATGGAGTTAGATGAAGCTTCCGAAGGCGAAGATGAGGATGAAGAGGCTACAGGGATACCGGTATCTCCAGCCAATTCTGATCAATTGCTCGGGCAATCTACTCCAACAACTTCTGGCAACAGTTAGTAACCTAGATACATACTAACAATTTTAAAATTATTTTATATTCTCTTTTGTTATTTAAAAAAATAAGCATTATGATGCGTCAATTACAATATTTATTAAAATAATATAAAGTTTATTACATGTATAAATCAATTAAATAAAAGCATTAAAATTTACAGATTAGAAGAACTAGAAAGAAAGATGTAATGTTTATAACAAAAACTGGAAATTTTTGATCAAAAAATAAAAAAATTTTAGTTATATAAGAGAATAAATAAATTATTAATTTAAATAATAATGTAAACTACTTTTGTAAATTCTATTATAATTTCTATTATCATTTTTTAAGTTTATATAATCTATGTTTTACTATAAAATTAATTTTCAGATTAAATTTATAATTTTATTTTAAGTTAAAATTTTTACAAAAATTTTAAATCATTCACAAAATAATCTTAAATAATTAATTTTATTATATAGAATATATACCATTTAATTGCATTTAATTTAAGTTTATAACATTTATTTATGCTACATTTATTACTAATGAAACAATATACATTTTAATTTTGTAATGAAAAGTAACATTTAATATTAACCTTAAATTTAAATATATTTCTGTCTTTATTTAGAAAGAAAGATAAAGATAGATATATATTTAAGTCTTGCTTAAAGCTAAAATAACGTTGGTGCAATCGGGCCTTAGAGGACTTGTTCAATATAAAATATCTTTTAAGGATTTTTTAAGGGACCTTGTAGATTCACACTAGAAATTTATATATATATATATATATATATATATATATATATATATAACATTCATCTTATATACAAATTTATTGTGCAGGTTATTATACCATTGTAGTGGTTTGTCGGCTTTCTAAAAAAATTAAATATATATATGTATATGCATGCCTATATTCTTCTATTAATCTTTTTTCTCTCTTTTCTTCTGTTATAATATTTTTATTTAATATTTTTGTTTTTCAAACTTGTTTGTCAATATTTATTCCTTTTTTTTATTAGTCACACCAGATGAGGCTTTCCATGATCCATTGCGGTATCAAAAATTTCCATTGCCTGGTGGAAAACCTTTGAACATTCGCCGTGGGCCTGGCAGACCCCGAAAAGAACGACCTCTTGGTATTACTCGTGGAGGAAGCAACAGAAGATCTTTTGGAAGAGGTGGTGCCAGAGGCAAAGGGTTTGTGCTAATTAATATAATTATTACTAATAATTATGACTTCATATGTATATTAATTATATGGTTTTAATAGAATATACCTGAAATGTTTTATAATATTTTTTTCTGCATTTTATTATATTTATAGACTAGGATATGCAAGAGGTATACCGCGTCGTACCAAAAGCAAAGACGATGATACACACTCAGAGTCACAAAGCCCTTTACGCACCAGCGGAACGGACGACGTCACTATTGACGGTGGCGAATCAGGAGGGAACACAACTGACAGGTCAATGCCGGCACCTGAAGAGCCTCCTTATTTTCCTGAACAATGGTAAAATTCCGTTTAATCTTCTTTAACTATTTTAAAATTCAAGTAATAATTATATATTGTTCCAAAAATTGAAAATTAAAAAAAGCGTTCTTTATTAATGTTTGTATTCAAAAGAAATGTTTTATTAATATTAATGTAATTATCCTTAAATGAATTAAATATAGAATTTTCTGAAAAAGAAAATCTAATGTGAATTAAGTATTTTTAAGTATTTTTAATTATTTAATCAGAATTATAAATATTTCTAGGCCGGGCAAAGCATGCGCATTATGCAATTTAGGCGAGAGAAGTCAGCTGGGGCAAGGTGAACTTTTGCGCCTGATGTGTCCTCCAGGTTTTACTCCTGAAAAGTCAACAAATCGCGATGAAGCAACTACTGATCGATGTCTTATTGACATTACTGTCGCTGGAGATAAAAGTCCGCGTGCGGCTGGACCTGGAGCTGCTGTTACTTGCCGTAGACAGAAGAGCCTAGCCAAATGCAGGCAAGAATTGTATTATGCTATATTAATATATTAAATCTATAAATTAATATTATAAATCTACCAAATTAATATTAAATCTATCAAAAATATCTCTAGATTATATATATAGTTACGTCCGCGAATCATAACCGAGTATCATATATTTATATCGAAGCACGCGACGCAACTATTCGCTACTCGCGAAATAAAAACACTTTATCAGAAAGAAATAAGAACTTTAATAACACACAACACAACACGTTACTACAACACAATTAGAATACATGTAAAAAAATACATGAATGCATTTTTATTACATGTATTCTGATTATGTATAGTAATGTGTTGTGCACGACGGTTGAAGCCGTGGCCAAACGATTTTACAGCTCGCTTGAATCTCTTTTGTCTGCTATCTTTTTTTAAATAATCTTTAACAATGCGTTAGAGGCTAATCTTAAAGTTAACTTGAGCTGACATAACGACACGTTGAACTCAGGAACGTAATCATATATATATGTGTGTGTGTAGATTATTTGCACATACTATATTTTATTTATGTTAAAAAGTAATTTATAAAAAATTCACCAAGAAAAATAAAATTGAAAATTTAATATTTACATACTATTATTTATGTTTATAGGAATACTAGTCTAACAAATTTCACAGAACCAGTAGAAGAATTGACAATCGTAGGTTTTTCGGAAGAGCCGGACGTTGGGGCTTTATTTGAACAATTAACCGGTCATTACTACGTTCATCAATCGTGTATTATTTGGTCCAGTAACAATCAAGATTTGGCTCCAGAATTGACATGCCGCGCCGTCTTGCAAGCTTCCTGCAGACGTTGCGCCTATTGCTCACATTATGGTGCTGGAATTTCTTGTAAAGTAAGTTATCACTAAACTATTATTATATCATTTTATATATATATATATATATATATATATATATATATATATGCAAATAATTATAATTATAAAAATTAAAACTAAAATTTCATGATTATTTTTGTTATATTATTTCAAAATATTTACACAATTTCTTGATAATAAATCCGACTATCATATTTGATAGGTGGCATCGTGCAATCGTTATTTTCATTTCCCATGTGCCGCAGCCAATAGTTGCTTTCAGGATACCAAGAGTCTAACTCTTTTCTGCAGCCAGCATCTTGGCCAAGTCCCGCTCTTGTGTAAGTTCCTCATTTTTAAAGTGTCAATAAAAATTTTATTTCTGGTTTTTTATCATTTAATGTTTAATTAATAAGTAAAAAAAAAAAAAGGGCAATTATAATGATAATAAGCAAAAACTTTTATCATTACATATAAATAAAAAAATACATCTAAGTAAAAAAATTATTTAAATATATATTTTTACTATTTTATTATTATATCGTCAAAGATTTCTATTTTCTCTTAATCTCTACTTTTACTCTAAGGGATTTTATTTGAATGCAATTTGGATATATGCAAAATGAAAATATTACACACTGTTTTTCATTTGTTTTTTCATTTTCATACTTGATTATACATCATGTAATCAAATGTGTAATGGAAGAAACATGAAAAGAAAATTCAATTTTCAAGAAAACAATTGACTTGAAATAAAAATAAATTTATATAACAATCTTATGGTTATTAATATGTATGTATATATAATTTATAAAAAAATATTACATTTACAGTGAATGGGGAAGTGACTTGTGTGCAATGTTATGGGATGGGCGATGTATCAAATTTAGTAATGTGCTCTATATGCGGTCAGCATTACCATGGCAGTTGTGTGGGCTTAGCATTGCTGCCTGGAGTACGTGCTGGATGGCAATGTGTATCTTGCCGTGTGTGTCAAGTCTGTCGACAACCTGAAGATGTTTCTAAGGTTGTAAAAGTTATACGAAAAAAAATACATAAAAAAATATCAATATGCTCAAGTCTTTTAAAATTACAAGTTATAATTATTACATAATAATTTATAGAAAGTTTCAGTTATGATTATAATATAAAAAATTTTAATTTGTAAAAAATGATAATTAAATAATATTGCAATGGTTTCTATTTTTTTAAATTTTGAATATATTTAATAAAACTGTTAGAGTAATAGAAAAATAATTACTGAAAATTATATTTTAAATGTCTTAAATTAAAATACTCAATTTATTTAAATATATATTATAGTTTAAAAAGAGAAATTTAATGCGTTTTGTATGTATTTTAAAATTGCAATTTTTTTTTAAATTTTCAATTAATATTATTTTAGAATATTATATAGATAAATGTTTTACAAAAAATTAGTATAATAATTATTAAAATATTATATTTTCTAAAGAAATTAATATACAGGGTGGGGCATTTATCTTGAGACAAGATAATATCTCGATTGCAGTCGATTATTTTGAAAAAAGTTTTAGACAAAAGTTGTATGGTTTCAAGGGGGACATAAGATGGTGTTATTAGTTTGATCTTGAAGAGCCACCTGAAGGACACGCGAAGGTCAGCTCCAACTTTTTAAATGGGACACCCTATATGCTTTTACATATTCTTGTAGCTCATCTCAAGAGCTTTCCAAAACACTATAATTAAGTTAGTTTTCATTAAGTACTTTCCAAGTTATGAGGCTTGAAATCATTTTTTAATTTTACATAAACCGTAAAATATCTTGTAAAATATTCATTTTTCGATTATTTTACCTTAATACTTTTATGTACAAAATAATGAGAGGAATCAATTGGTGTAAAGAAAAGACATAGTTATTTTTAAGAAAAAATATCTAATTGTTAATTGCAAATTACATTTTTTTTTTCGAAACAACTATGAGTTTTCTTTACACCAATTGATTTTTCTCATTATTTTGTACATAAAAGTATTAAGGTAAAATAATCGAAAAATGAATATTTTACAAGATATTTTACGGTTTATGTAAAATTAAAAAATGATTTCAAGCCTCATAACTTGGAAAGTACTTAATGAAAACTAACTTAATTATAGTGTTTTGGAAAGCTCTTGAGATGAGCTACAAGAATATGCAAAAGCATATAGGGTGTCCCATTTAAAAAGTTGGAGCTGACCTTCGCGTGTCCTTCAGGTGGCTCTTCAAGATCAAACTAATAACACCATCTTATATCCCCCTTGAAACCATACAACTTTTGTCTAAAACTTTTTTCAAAATAATCGACTCCAATCGAGATATTATCTTGTCTCAAGATAAATGCCCCACCCTGTATATTAGAATTGAATTGATATTAAAATTATTCAATAAATAAATTATTTAATTATTCAATTAATTTTTTTTTAAATAATTCTGTTTTATTAAGATTTTTATAACATAATTTTTACAATAGGTGATGCTATGTGAGCGATGCGATAAAGCTTATCATCCCGGTTGCTTGCGACCAATCGTTACTTCTATTCCGAAATATGGCTGGAAGTGCAAGTGTTGTCGCGTGTGCACTGATTGTGGTTCGCGTACTCCTGGAGCCGGATTATCTTCCAGATGGCATTCTCATTATACTGTCTGTGATTCGTGCTACCAGCAACGCAATAAAGGTTTTTCTTGTCCACTCTGTAGAAAAGCATACAGGTAATTGGAATATCTTGAATTTTTGCAAACATATATATAACAAATATATATAATATATATAACTAAATATAAATTATATATTATATAAAATTGTGTATTATAACTATATATAAATTGTGTGTGTGTGTGTGTGTGTATATATATATGTATGTATGTATGTATGTATGTATGTATGTATGTATGTATGTATGTATGTATACAATTTGTTAATTTCATATATGATGTGTAATTATTTTACTTTATTGATACTACTGCTATGGATAGTTAGTGCTACGAATATTTCAAAACGCGACTTTAACTAGCCTACTTTGATCTAAAAATTAATTATAGCATTTTCAAAATAATTAATATGTGATAAAGAATTTAAAAAATTTAAGAAAATTATTTAAACTGCACATCTCTTAGGTCCAGTTTCACTACTCTAACTAAAGTTTAACTCGTTAAAGAAGGGTTTACATTGCATCCCAAACCCACTGTATCCAATTGCACGTCATCGAACATTGGACGTAATGTAAATCCTCCTTTAATGAGTTAAACTTCGGTTAAAGTAAGTTGTGGAACTGGGCCTTACATTCGAATTTCTGATTTATATATATATATATATATATATATATATATATATGTGGGATTCATACAGGTGTTTCAAAACCTATAAAACAAACTTCAGGAGATACGGTAGATTTTAGAACCAATTTTTATCAAAAAACTTGTTTGATGCGTTCTTAAGAAACTAGGCGTTTCTGTTCGCAAACCTATTTGTAAGATAGGCAATCGCGCAATAACATTGCGCATGAGTTTACATCGTTTAAACAACATGAAAAATAGAAAAAAATCAAAGGACATGAACTATTATTGTTAGATGTTTTATGATCAGTTGTTTACAGACGATTCGAACGCGTTACAGGTTTTTTTGAAAATTTATTTTCTTGGCAAGATTTTATCTCTTGAAATTTATCCACCCTAGAATATCCTGTATATTT